AAGATGCACACCACAGAACTTAAAATCCACATCAAAAAAACTTTGTTGTAAAATTTTGTGGAGACATCACTCACACTTGTTATTTGATAAAACGAATAAAAGTCTACAACAATTCCACCAACTCCTAACAACTTTTTGTCACTTTTTGTTTGATTAATTTCACTCGTTTTGTATGTGATTGGTTGAAAACAAAACAAACAAAACTGACCATCCCAAACGTTCCAAATAACAACACAACTATAGTCCTAAAACTACTCAAATCTTCACAATACTGCCGACAACACTCTTTACATCGTGTAGGCATTTTTAATTTACAGTTTTCATTTTTGATTCGATTTTTTTGTATAAACTTGTTAATACTTTTGAAGCCAATAAAACCCTATTTTTTAAGTCAAGTTCCCAAGTAAAAAAAAACAGAAGCTTTTTACTTCGCATTTGCTCAAATAAATTCGTTATATTTTCATTAGTAATACGTTCTAAATATATTATATAGATATTACCACAACCAGGCGTATTAATTTTTTGCCTCGTTTTTGTTTTAAAAAACAGGGGGCTGGTGTTAATTTTTTCCCAAAAACGTATTTTTAAAAGAAAAAACATTCTATAAAATAAGACTGAAGCATTTTTGGGATTCGGCATTCACTGTGTAAATTTTGGTAAACGCCTGGTTGTGGATATTACATTGATATTATGTATCAACAGAATTTTTATTATAACAAGTGAACAATGTATTATTTATCAACGAGTTTGTAAACAGAGATCCGCTTCAATTTCGACTTTGTTGTCCCCGTCAATGCACGCCTCACTTTCCCATATTCATAACTCGACTGTCCAAGTATACAATTCCACACTCCAACATTCTTTCGGATCAACATCTTCCCAACTTCAACATCTCCATCACCAAATTTGAAAAGTTTAAAACTCGACTCTCCACCAACAAATATCGCCGTTTCACTCTCACTCTTCTTCATGTCAAATTTCATTGGAGAACCCAGCCGCCCATTCGATCTCAGAGAAAACAAAAAGGCGTTTTTGTCATCAACAAATTCGTCAAGTTTGATCTTCTTTGTTGTGACTCCGCCAAACAAATTGAGTTGGTCGTCTTCAATCAAAAAGACTGATTTCTCAACGTCTTCAAAACGGGTGTGTAAAAGACTTGCAGATTTTTCAGCGGAGTCCACAGATGTATCAAAAAGTACTTTGTCGAGTTTACAAGAGCTCCATTTTTCTATCTGCACCTTTTCTATGAAGTTTAAAATATCCTTTTTCTCGCCTTTTCCCATTTCAGTAGACTTCTCCGTTTTAAATGTTGTTGTTGGTAACAAATTCTGCGTCTTTTGTGAACTCTTTGTCTCTTTATCACTCTCATGTTTATCGACTTTAATTGATGGACTCTCCATATTGCTTTCTGAATGAGAAAAAGGTGTTTTGTATGCAGGTTGTGTCGATTCTTTGACTTCATTAACGACTGATGGCGTTTTTGTTTTTTGAGGAATCGGTTGAATTTTTGAGATTTTTATCTTTTTGACGAGTTTATTACGTGTCTGTGGGGTATGGGACATTACATCCGTTTCATTGCTTGCGTCTATAGTTATGATCTCATTTTTCGATAAACTATTGTTCGTTTTTTTATCTTGGTTTTTAAGCTTGAAGAAAGGTATTTGTGGGAAGTATGGATTATCGACATGTTTTGGTTGGAGGTCGATGTCTGGAATGGCGTCAAAATTCTCGTCACTTTGAACGTTTTGAATATTTTTGATGCTGTCATTGTCACATTTGTCAGACTTTTTAACATTCACATCTTTCATTTTTGTTGTAGTCTTTTCTTCTTTTTTAACAATTTCGTTTGGAATGGCTTTGGAATTTTCATTGGTATTTTTCTTGATAGAAATTGGGTGTTCCTTTTCAATAAGAACTTCCGAATTTTCAGATATTTTTAATTCGGTGTTGTGATCTTCGATTTCTTTGTTTTCATTAATTAAATTGTCTTTGTCTTGATCAATCTTGTGTTCTTTCTCTATAGCAAATTCTAAAATATTGTCTTCGAGTAACACAGAGTCTGTTGAGAATTCATCTTTGTTTTGTTTTGAGTTGGAGGAGTCATCACTTAATATTGGATATTGGTCCAACTTTGAAAGAGCCGAGTCGGTACTCTTGAGATAATTATTGTTGACACTAAGACGAAATGTCATCTCCTTTTTGCGGTACGAGTTCTTGCTAAGCTCTTCTCTGAATCTTTTGTTTTCAAAGTCCTTTACTTTTTCAATGAGGGTTGTTGCTAATGTGTCAGAAAACGACTTCTGTGTGTTGAGCATCTTTTTTGAATCGCTCAAAAGTTCGTGAAGGTCGTCAATAAAAGATAAAAGCAATTCAATTTGTGTGGACATTTTTTCGCAAAGGAAATTAGTTTTTTGAATTGATTTTAAAGTTCTTTTGATGTGTTCGCTGTTCTTCTCAGTGATGGTTTCGTCACTCGCATTTTTTTGTTTTGGAAACATTTTCATATAAGCAGAAAGGTTGTGTTGTAAAATGTTCAATGTGCTGTCAATTTTCGACTTATACTCACAAAGATAGTCAAAGGGGCTTTGGCGCTCCATTGAACTTCTTTTTAATTGTTCTTTAGAAATTTAGGTTTTTTAAATTATTTTGATTTAGTTTTCAATTGGTATTGTTTAAATTTTTCAAAAACTTAAATTCCATTCTTTTTAAAAATATATAAAATAATTCGATGTTAATTATATTTTTTTATTATTTTGATAATTATTGAATTATCATGTTGAATGTAAAAGTGTTTTAAATCTCTTTAATTTGATAAACAACCACATAGTCGAACAAAAGTTCAAAAAATGTATTGTTATTGAATTAAATTATTTATAAAAAACAAGTTTTTGTAATATTATTTGTATGAAATTTATGAAATAACAAGTAATATTCTTTGTGTTTTAATATGTTGCTTTTATTATTTAATTATTCACATAATTAATATAACTGAAATGATTGCAACAACTTCGTTTTTTCAAATACATTAAATAAAATACAAACAATGTAAAAAATACTTCCTTTTTTAAAATAACTTAAATGAGTATATTAACAATATGAACATTACAATTGTTTTTAACATAAATTAACAACTTAAATCGTTATATTCTTCATACGGCAACACAGATTCCTGTGTTATTCTTATTATCATTTGGAGATTTATTTTCTAACGTGTTAATATGCTTAATTTCCTTACGGTTCTCAAGTTGTTGACTGTCAAGTATTTCGGCCAAAGTTTCAGTCACCAAAAACATCGCGTTTTGGTGAGTAATTTTGTCAATTTTGAAATAATGATCGACATTAAGTAAATACTTGACTTCTAATATTTCCTCATCAGTAACAACTCTCGAAGAATCATCATTGCTATTCATTTCAGCAAGAACCAAAATCGAATTTCCATCTATTTCATTTTCTAGATTCTCTTTAATAACTTCTTTCATATCCACATATGTTCGATGGTTCGTTGCAGAGTACATATATATTATAGCAGAACACCCTCTTAATGTTACTCCATTATTAATATTGTTATGTTTATCAAAAATAAATAACATAAAAACACACCTGTAATACGCACGAGATATACTCATATATTTGACATTAACATCTACAGTTGAATGTTATAGTAAATATAATGCAACACAAACTTGCATCCCACAGTGACACTTTGACTAGATTTCTATCCATAATTAAACATTCATTCTTTTTGTTATTATTGGTATTACTACGTTTATTAACAAATTAAATAGTTATTAAAAGAAGTTGATATACTGCATTACAGTCGATTAAATGTTAATTGGTTATACATCCTACAATAACGACTCTTATTTATAGTATTATGAAATTGGTTTGTAAATGAATGACACAACAAATTTATGTGTTAAATTATTACTATTATTTTCATAAATAACAAACTACAAAATCGACCCCAATCGAGTCTATGTAATAGCCCGACAGTTGTGGATATTTGAATCGTTGGAGAAGTTGTTGTTTACCAATATCATTGCTACCCACAAGTAATATTTTAAATGTGTTACAAATTGGAGCTATCATATATATATATAATTTAGAGAGATCTTCCAATTGACAGTGATGTTTATAATTAACTATTTATTAATTCAAATGAGGAGCACTTATTAGATTAAGTGTTTATGTTAATAGAAATGATTAAATTGTATACAAAATAATGATTTAAATAATTGTAAATTCACGTAGTACCGATTGACTAGCAAAATCGATGAAACTTTTAAAGTTGCAAAAATCGTTTCCGGCCCCACATGGAAGTTTCACAACCTTCGAATTAAAAGAAAATCGCAACACTATTTCTCCGTCTTCCTCTTCGAAAAATTCAATTAACAGATACGCTCCCAAATTAATAACTTTGTCACATTTGATACCACAGCATGCCAAAACAAGGAGAAGAGTAATATCATGGCCCGAGTAATGATGATACATGACGTCATCCTTCTTATTCAGTGAATTTTGCACGTCATTTATAACATCAAAAACAAAAGGTTTTGCCATATTTCTCGTCGAAACGTCATCGCCCAGTCGTAAATAAAACCACTCAATTTGCGAGTTGACTGTTTCAATCATTTCTTCATCGGTAAATTCCTCGACTTTCTCGCAAACGCTTTTGTCGAAGATTTCGTGTGTTTTGTAAAACAAGAAAAAATCGCCCAGGCAAAAAATTTTCGACGAGAATTTGTGGAGCGAAAAAGGTTGCGAAAAAATCTCGCAGAATTTTTTCTCGAGAAAAATGTATTTTTCGTTTTTCTCAAAAATTTTGTTCGACGTCTTGATGTTTTGCATGACGACTTTACTCAACTCGCCATCGCGTTCAAATGTCATATTTTCATTTTCTTTATGTTCAACGATGTCTGGAAAGAATGAAGAAATGGTCTGGAAGTCTTTTTTAAAAAATCCTTTAAAAAAGGCGACTGCTGAATCGACTGTTCTTTGTATTTTAGTTGACCGAATTTTAATATTTTGGAGTTTTAAATTGGAAAATTCGTTTGGATAATGCGATAAATACTGTTGAAAAGAAGTCCCTGCATCTTTCATCTGTTCTTTCCCTCTCTCAGTTAAATCACCAGTCTTTTTATTTTTCTGAATGTTTTGTGGAAGTAAATTAAAGAAAAAGGGGAGTCTGTCACCATGTCGTGTGATGTAAACAACGTGCACCAATTTTTTATTAGCAATTGGTTGTAAAGTAATCGGTACAATTTTGTTGTACTCTTCGAAGATCTCGACCATTAATTATAAGTTTGAATTCGTTGTTTCCTTTCAATATTTATTTAAACGATGTTAAAAATAAAAAACAGTTTCTTCTCCAATTATTTTAAATTTTATTTACAACAGATATAATTGAAACAATTTTATAATAGAACAACAAATAACACTTCATTAAATTTAATTAGAAAAGAGCCATTACATATAAAAATAGAACCAAAACAACACCGAATGCGTTGTCTACTGGTTTTACTTCAGAATTAATTGGAGTTTCTGAGGGTTCTGGAACATCGGGGTCGTCAGTAACTCCATAACATTTCACAAATACGTTATCAACACATGCATTGCACTTATAATTGACATCACCTTGTCCAGTTGATTGTCCTTCACAATTTGCACCATAATAATAATTTCTCAGGTAATACTTTCCTTTGTCTTTTACAACAAGATACTTTTGCGGTTTGGCATCATTAAAGCACTGGTCAGTGTAGTAGATACCGTCATAACTTCCATTTATATGTGCACACCCAATGTCGATATCAGACACAAATGCAATGTCATTCATTACCAAGTCTGTTTCAAATGCAGGTTTATATACCAAAACAGGTGATGCATCACCTTGGCAAACATCGTCGGTAAATTCAGACTTCGTAATTACTGGTGGATTGACTGGAGCAATTGTTTGATACATTATAGAACCCCCAAGCTTCGTATAACATTGGTTGTCTGTGTATTTCCTTCTTAGGGCCTTACCATACTTGGATTGGTTTTCCCATACAGTAAATACCATTGCTTTGGAACATACATCACAAATAAATAGCGAGAACAAGAGCAAGAACATTTGTTTGGTTTATAACAAGATCAAAATGGATTATATCCAAGTGGAAGTTTGTATGAAAACAAACAACCTTATTCTGCTTTTAAAAAAGATATTTTTGTTGAGGGGTTGATATTTTAATTATTCAACGAGTCATTTTTTAATATTTTTGAATTAATTAACGTGCAATTTTTTATTAATTATAATGTAATATTATAACATATAATTATATTTTAGTTTTATTAATAAAATTAAATGTTAATATATATATATATGCTAATTAATTCTTTTAAAATAAATAAAAATTAGTATACTATATGTTTATAGTTTAATATACAATATTTTTTTTATTTGACCATTAATTTTTTAAATAGAACAATATAAGGGCAATTGAAACAAAGAAAAAAAAATTTATTGTTCTGATTCGGCATTATTGACTTGATTTTGTTAAATAATGTTATTTCCCATATTATTTCAATTGGGTTTTTACCAAACAGTTTAAATACTAAAAAAATGGACTAATTTAACTATAAATAACCAAAATCAATTTTTATTATTTAATTTTAAAATAGCAAAGTTTAGTTTTTAATAAAATTAATATTAAAAATATAATATTTGTGAAATATTTTGTTTTATTATTTCTTTAATTAAATTATAGTTAATAACTATTTTTTATTAAAATTAATAAATAAATTATAACTATTGTAAAAATTGTGAAACACTTAAAAACATTTTAGTTTATTATTTTTTGTTATTGATAAAAGAAAAACCCTTTTTGTGAAAAGTTTTTACAAAAATGCGTTTTGTTAAATATTTCCCGAAATGTTCTACAATACAAAACCGAAAATATAACCAAATCTAAAATTTGAAACAATAAAAAAAGTTAAAACCTTG